CAGTCTTGGCGACTGGGAGATCTCGAGTTGATTGGGATAGACAGGTTCAGCCCTACTGGGCGTTCATCGAAGCTGGTTCAGCTCGGTGCCTTGGCAAAGAAATGTTCCTTGCCGATTGTCATTTGTTGAAAGACCAGGTTATTCAACGCACAAGCTGTTGCTGGAGAGGGATCGGCTTGATGAGGTGAAGCCAGTCAGCCAGGGGAGGTAGCCAGCCCAGCCCCTTTTCGCCTGCAAAAGTATCGGATGTTTATTAGCGGCAGCAAAGCCACGCTGTCGGTGCGCACAGATGACGGCTTCATTCCCCGTGTGCTTGCCGCCGTCCGAGGTTTGTACGTAGTAGGCATGCAGGGCAGCAGGAGAAACATATCTCAGATGGTAATTGAGCATTCTAGAAGCGTGCATGGACCGAAGCACGAGTCGTCAGCCAGCTTGCAATGAGCAAGCTTTTTCTATACGTTAAATATTGACCTAGAGGGCCCCCCCAGGTCCAAATAGTTGGCAGGAAGGGCATATTGGATGGTCCCAGCGCAGTATTCTGCAATTTCTCGCCAAGGGAATGCCCAGGCGCGTAGATCGCGGCAGGGCGGCCATTTGGACATGGGCGACACGAGGGGGGCGGTGCTGTGCAGCAAGGGAGCTAGCAGAGCCAAGGAGCCAAAGACCCGATGAGAGGACGATCTGACTGACGAAAAGCTTGTTCTTTGGACTGAATGGCTTGGCGGCTAGATGATGTTTTAGTGGTGGTTTGTGTTATTGAGAAGGATTGGTCGTGACCGTTCGTTGGATGGGAGATGGGAACTCGAGGGGCGACGCCAATGAGTTGTAAGCGCTGCGGTATGCAAGAGTGAGAGAAATTGAATAGAGCACAGTTTGGCTGGGAGTCGGGACCCGACGGCAATGACGGAGACAGCAGCAACTCAAAAAGGCACTCTATTTCCATCCGCCTATGACCTCCTCAGGACCAGGCGAGGCCCGCAATTCATCATTCAGGAAAAGGGGGGCCAAAACAGGGAAGGCCGCGCACTCCACCATAGAACAAACCGGACAAGTCAATTGGCTGAGAGTCAGATCATGTGACTTCACTCGTGACCTTGAATCAGGGGTTCTCCCCCTTGGGCTTGTTGTCCTGCCATGGAGGGAAGTCGGCGGCGCGCCACTGCTCCCTCTCGCAACGCCGTCCATTTCGCTGCAAGTACCGGTACTTGTCAAGCATCGTATGGATACGAGGAAGAACCGAAAAGAGCAGACTCGCCTGTCCCAAATGTGCCATGATGCCTTAACAATACCCATAGGTTTACATAGATGGTCATGAACAATTAAAACATTCAATGGCCAAGACAAATGGATTCGGCCTTGACGCCATACGCTACCTTCTGCTAGGTCTGGCGTACGGATACCCCCAGTCTCTTGGCATTTGGGCCCTGTCCCTGGATCGCCAAGACCACGGGACAAGACGCTTGAAAACTTGGAATTTGCTTGTTTTCCACACTGGTGACTTGGCGCGCCTGGGCACTGCACGAATTACCGTCGCGGAAGCACAGGAACTTGACGCTACGAATCCTGTGGTGTCGCTGTCGGATGCATTGGCACGCGAGTAGATAGAGCAGATGGACGACGTACGAATACTTACCTTACTCAACACCTGATGGACGTCACATTGCCGGCGCAGCCACCGGCCAACGCTCGACGATCGGTGGGCGAGGGAAAGGCGTTGGTCATTGTTTTCCAATTCCGCATTCCTGCAACAGCGAGAACCTGAGTTGGCGCTGTCCATTTATTCCCGCTGCCCTGCCTCGTAGGCTCATACTGACTCCCCAGGCATGCAGATAAATGTGAATGTACCGCAACTTGACGCGACCCTTGCCCACCACCAAATAACTGCCCGGCCTCCATGTCCCCGGTACAGCCACCATCCCGGCACCCTCTTTCCATTTCTCGCACTTGTACCCGCCCGGCGTCCTAGCTACCTGACTTTTGAGTACCTAGTCACCTAGTGCCAGTGTACACCACACCACACCCCTTCGCTGTCACTCCTTCTTTCCCGGCCCTCCCTCCTCGTCTTCCTTCTCCCTCCAACGTCCCTGTTCATCTCCTTTCCTTTCTCCTCCAACCCTCGTTTTGCCTGTTTACAGAAACCCATCCCGACGACTTCCAGCAGCGATATTCGACAGCTGGCACTTCCACGACTCTTCGCCCATTCTTCACGTTCGACCTACTTCGAAATACTCGCATGATACGGCACTAGTCCGATCGCGCCGCACCGAGGGAATTGACTTTGGTTCTCAATTTCCCGCCCCGTTTCTCCCCTCTCAACCAGTCGCTCGCTTCAAATCAACGTGAACGTCACTCGACGATAACCACCATGAAATTCTCTTCCATCGCCAGCGCTGCGACAGCGCTCCTCGTCTCGAGCGGTTTCGCCAGCGCTGCATACTCCATCGCTTCCGACGGTACATTCATCCCTCAACTCGAGCCTTCGACAGGCCCCGGTCTATCGCCTTACTAACGCCGTGCCCAGATGACATCAAGGCCACCACAAAAGGTCTCGCCTACGACCTCATGAGCTTCTACGATGGTAACTTGACTGGCCACACGCCCGGTATTTTGCCCGGTCCTCCGCCAGCCGGTGATTACTACTGGTGGGAAGCTGGTGCCATGTGGGGAACTATGATCGACTACTGGCACTTGACTGGCGATTCGACCTACAATGATGTTGTCATGCAGGCCATGCTTCACCAGGTCGGACCCGACCGCGACTACATGCCTCCTAATTACACTGCCTCGCTGGGTAACGACGACCAAGGTTTCTGGGGCATGTCTGCCATGACTGCTGCCGAGGACGGTTTCCCTAACCCACCCGAGGATGAGGCTCAATGGCTGGCTCTCGCCCAAGCTGTTTTCAACACCATGGCCAGTCCCGACAGACACGATAACACTTGCGGAGGCGGTCTCCGCTGGCAAATTCCTCTCTCCAACAACGGATATAACTACAAAAACAGTAATGCTGACGCTCACGCCTCCAACGAACCTGATACTGATTGCTTATAGGTATCGCAAACGGCTGCTTCTTCAACATTGGTGCCAGACTAGCCCGGTACACCAGGAACCAGACGTATGCCGATTGGGCCGAGAAGACCTGGGACTGGATGACATCCGTTGGTTTCATCGATGCCGACTACAACATTTACGATGGTGGTCACGTTGAGCAGAATTGTACCGATATCAACAAGGCCCAGTTCTCTTACAACAACGGCGTTTTCATCCTCGGCGCTGCCATGATGTATAACTACGTAAGTGGCTTCTACTCATGCATCTAGATGAGCTTGATATTAACTTCAACCCAGACGGACGGCGCCGCCGCGTGGAAGACACGCTTGGACGGTCTTATCGAAGGAACTTTGAAAATTTTCTTCCCCAACAATATTGCATTCGAGATTGCTTGCGAGGAGCACAACACCTGCACAACCGATATGCTGAGTTTCAAGGGCTACGTCGCCCGATGGATGTCGGTCACGACGCAGATTGCACCATACACTGCCGACAAAATTCTCCCAGTTCTCAAGACGTCTGCAGATGCTGCTATCAAGCAGTGCACAGGGCAGGATAACCAACGAACGTGTGGCTTCAAATGGAGCTCCGGCGTGTACGACGGCACCAAGGGGGCTGGCCAACAGATGAACGTGCTCGGCGCCGTATCATCTCTGCTCATCGGCAATGTGAAGGCACCAGTAACAAACACCACTGGTGGTATCTCCAAGGGAGACCCCAACGCCGGTAGTCATTCGGACAATTTACTCGGCACAGAAACGCCAGTCACAACGGCAGATAAGGCCGGCGCTGGCATCCTGACCTTCCTGGTTCTGGGATGCGCGGCCGGCACGTTTGGCTGGATGAGTTTCGGAGCGTGAATGGGTTGATGAGCGCAACATAACGACTTGAATTTTCTGCGTCATTTTCTTGACATGTAGCAGCACCACGGTCCTGCTGGCGAGTCATGCTCGCAATAGGGATATACCGGCGTCGAGGCCAAGGACGGCCTGGTTTGTATTTACTTGGCGTTGACGATTGTACATTTGTCCCAAAACGAATATTGGGCAATGCGGTTGTTGGATTTGGTTCCATTCTTCACACTCCCCTGCGGTAGTAATGGGCACTGGATAGCTCACGATAGTGAGGGGTCACTATAGTCTATAATGTAGCTATACTACGACAAACATAGGTTTCTAGAATAGACACTCTTGTCAAAATGAACCATGATTGAATCTTGCGCATGCTGTGTCTATTTCCTCTCGCCCAGAGCAGGCCAGCCGTCTTGGGCACATGCTGAAACTGACCGCATAGAAGTCCATCAGCGCCATGACGCCATCTCGTCCGAGGTTGGGGCACTCGCTGGGCTCAGGCGCTGGACCTGTCATCTGCACACGCAAAGTTTGGGTGCTGGCGCATTGCTGCTTCGCACGGCTGAGCATATCGGACGGTTGTTCTGCCCCTCTGACCAGACGTTACAGTCTACGTCATCTCGAAAGCTGTCGTCCTATCCTGCAGCGGCAGCCGTTTCAGCAACGGTGACCGTGGGCCATGGCATAACGGTCGCCTAGACGTTCGAGAAGGAATTTTGGGAACAATGCCAAGTCCCCTTGATAATTCTGGCCGATGTTTCTCCGGTTCGTCAATCTTCTGTTTGACAGTTTTTGGTGTTTGAAGTTTCTCCGCTGTGGTGGACTTGGCCAATCACAGGGCCGGAGAGACTCATGGACGATCCCTCTCTCAGGTCAGTCAATCTCACACCCCCACCAATCAATCGTTCACTCACACTCTCTCTCATCCAACCTCTCAGTGAAACCCACAGGACTATTGTTGACAACGTTTCTCAATTTAGCTCATTCCGGTCTTTTCTTCTCAGATTGATTGGGCATCCTCTTTCCTCCATCTATTAAGAGTCTCGCTTGACCAGTCATAATCCCTGCCACCGAAAAACAACCGGGAGTTCAGTAAGCATGCCGATCCCGGACTTTGCCAACGAGGCAATCTTCCCAATCTTTGAGGGCCTCCCCATCGAGGAACCCGGCGCCGCCGATCCGCCCTCCTACGCCGCATCCTCGGAGCCGCCCTCGTATGCGCCGGCCCCCTCCGACCCGCCATCCTACACGGACTCCCAATCCGGCTCCGGCACCGCCAAAGCCTCCGCTTCCTCATCCTCCTCCACGGCAGTCACGAGACCATCCTCCCACGACGCACGCGAAGAATGGTTCCTCATAGCGCAGGTAAAACAAAACATGACCATCACGAAACCGACACTCGTGGTCGTCGATCGCCAGCAGACGGAGTTCGCCGTCACGTTTGAGGACCGCGGGATCGATTTGCGGCCCGTCAAGGGCGGGTGGACGATTGTCGTGCCGCGCGGGGTGAGGACGGCGCCGAAGGGCGGGAAGAGGGGGTTTGTTAGGGTACCGGAGGGGAAGGGGACAGGGGTGAAGTATATCCCTGGCGGGCTGGAGCAGATTGGGGAGTTGGGGGCGCGGGTGAGGGAGGATGGTGGGCGGTGGTTGAGGGAGTGCGCTGGGTGTGGGAAGGGGACTGGAGAGGGTGAGACGTTGAAGAGTTGTACTGCTTGTGTTGTTGCGAGGTATTGTGGCAAGGTGAGTCTTTACTTTAACTTCATTCTCGTGCTGTTTCCCTTCGCTGCTTTTTAATTGGCTGGCGGGAGTGATGTTGTGATGCGGACGTGCTGACGATGACTGACTACATAGGAATGCCAGAAGGAGGATTGGAAGAAGCACAAGGGGGATTGCAAGGTTCTCAAGGGCATGGCGAACGCGTGGGGGATATGATGCGGGTAGACGAGAGGAGTTTTAGGTATGATTAAGGAACTAAAGAAGATGCTCTGTGTCTGGACGGTGCCGACCTGTGACTAGAGAAGTGGTAGTGGACAAGTTCAAGTCCGTTGCATTGATGATAGAAATCACTGTGGAGGGCTCTGGGTAGATAGTAGAGCTGACAATCACTGTTGAGCGACCTGGGAACAAGTAGGTTGTTAACCAGACAGAGCATTGAAGCAATAATTCAGTGATAAATATCCGATATGCTATAAGGGAGTGTAAGGTAAAGCATGGCTGACACCCTTCTCTACAAAGCAAGCCTAAGCCAAATTCTCTCCAACAAACATCAACATGTAACGAGAACGTACAAGAACGTCAAATGAGCGACGCAGAATCGAACACATTTCTCTCCTGCCCAGTCACCCCCACACTCACCCTCGTTCCAAGAAGAAGCAGCTCAGAAGTAAGCAATCCGAGCCCCAGAAACCTGCGTATTCCACGAAACATAGTCATTGTCATTAACGCCAACAAGCTCGAGCCCCTCCACGGTACCAGGCGCCTTGCAATCCGTCGGCGCGGTCAAGTACGCCCCGTACGTGGCATCCCACGTAGCATACCCGCCCGCAACGACAGACAACCGCCCGATGTTCACGTTCCTCTGGTTCCCGGGCCCTCCCGCGCCCCAGCCGGGCGAGCCGCCGGCGGGCGCGGGCTTCAGCGAGGTGAAGACGTCGAGCTTGCGGCTGCCCGAGACGCTGGAGGTGGCGGCGTCGAGGTAGAAGTAGAACTGGCACTTTTTGCCGGCGGCGGCGGGCGGGTAGGTGAAGGTTAGGAGGGCGGTGAGGTCGTTGCCTGCGTTGGAGGTGGATTTGGAGACGACGGCCGTGCCGTAGGTTGGGGTGATGGCGCCGGTTCTGGTGTTGTAGGTGAAGGTTGAGGAGGGGGTGAAGTAGGTTGATGCTTGGCGGGTTTCCAAGGGGGATGCGAGGGCGGAGGTTACGGTGAGGAGGAGGGCGAGGACGGTCTTGGGGAACATTTTGGTGGAGGTTTGGTGGAGGTTTGGTGAGGGTTGGTGAGGGTTGGTGAGTGTTGGTTGTGGGATGGGATTGAGAATAGTTGGATGTAGTGGGATAGTGGTATTCTGTGAGCTGGGGATGGTGGTGATGAGAGTAGATGGGCGTCCAGAAAGAAGGAAAAACTCTCTTGTATTTATAACTTGATTCTATACGACGAAGCCCTCAAGTTAGCTCTTCATCTTGAGATTTATCGTAACCGATGGGAATCAGGCAAAACTAGAGGTATCATGGCTTTCCCCCGCTCTTCGAAATTTCACATAAGGTGGTCAAGGGCTTCGAGGCGGGTGTCCTCACAAGATGGCGCCTCACGACCCTCTCACCGACACGTCTCGTAAACTGACACAGCCCGACTTGGCTTTCCACATTTCAGCCTTCGGGTGAGGTCTCCGTCAGCCCTACAACTTACTCTTTTAACCCCTCAACTCATAGCAATAGGCTACATGAACCCAGTAGCCATGTAGGCTTAATTTGAGAAGCGGTATACGAACATCGCCCAATGGGATTTAAGCCTTAAAGAGGCCTACATCATCACGCGATGATGTTGAAAAAGTCTCCGCAAGGCGTTCCACTTTGTTTGTTGGAGTTGGGGTATGACGAGCGTTGTGTGGAGGAGGCTCAGCTCTGGGAGCTGGAACTCTTACGACCAATCAGCGCTGTTGAAGTGAGAAAGAGGCGTCCTATGAAAATATCGTGGGCTCTGCATCGTGGTGGCTTGATGGCTTACTTGGAGGTGGTGGCACGGCTCGATTTCGGTTTGGCTGAGCTTGCATCGGCATGAGCTAAGAGATTCAACCTTGGCCCTGTGGTTTGGGGGAAACTTCGTATCCAGATGTTTTCTTTGAGACAACGATCCACGATGGAGGGTCATCGGATTGGGTTGATGGGAAAGAAAAGACCAATGGTCTCAGATGAAGCTATTTTGAGGAGTAAGCTTCGGGGGAATGCGAAAGTGCAACTTTCGAAGCCGAGTGCCTCGCGATATTTGCGCACACGGCCCGAGACGGCAGTTTAGAGGCAATGTGGGAGCCAAGTTGAAGAATCTAGGCAGAGGTAAACCTTGCTTCAAAATTTGGTCTGCCATGATACTCAGATCGCTGCGAAGATAAAACAGTAGCGGAAAGGGATATCTGCGCATTGCTTCCCAAGCACAATGATGCCAGTGAGCCCCCAAGTCCCATTGGAGCTTGCTGTCCGAATTTGAAATCGCCCAGCACTCCCTTACAGCTCGTGGAGCGATGCTCCCAAAGCCAGAGGCATCCCTGATGTGAGGTTTGCCGTCCTCAAAGCCACGTGCGACTCTAAGGGACTGCCAGACTACTTCATCTCTTTGTGTCATTCTTGGGCATTTACAACGTCGAGGAATGTTTCTTTGTAGCTCCTGTCAACACTCAAAGACACCAAACATGTAATGTGCCATGCGATAGAGGCCCTAGATGACCAGAAAACCAGAATAAAGCTACGTCGTGGCGCCGGTAAGTGTCGTCTTGAGTTCTTGATCTCCCCGCTACATTGCACCGAGTGATCCTAGGCCACTCCTTTCTGGGCCATTCACCATCAACACCATGTTGGCTCTCAATCCATACATCTACGCCATTGTCTTCAATTGCATGATCGCTGCAGCTGATGCCTCCATGTCGACTATAATTAATCCTACGCGTGCTTCTCAACTAGAGCAGGAGCACTGGAATAATCTCCTACCCCCATCACCGACCACCCACGTCTCCGAACGTCCGACAGATGGAACCCGTATAGGTCCCCTCGAAGCAGCTATAGAAAGGCGGAAGCAACAACCTTGCGTCTCCGTTCATCTCTGTACCGAAAAGGATTGGGAAGGTGACTGCTGGTGGGCCTGTTTCCGAGATGGCCTGGAGACGTACCCGAACTGGAACTGGGGTGGCAAAGTCAAGTCCGCCCGCCCAGGTGAAGGCGCGACATGCAAGTTCTTCTTGTGAGTTTTTGAGCCTCTTGATTCTGCCTCTCTTGCGAGTGTGAGTGGATGCTGACGTTATTTCAAGTGGCCCGGATTGTAGCATGCGAACAAAGAAGCAAGATATGGAATGGCCAGGGGGCAACTTTGAGGGCTTGGTTGATTATGGCATTGGGTGCTTTTATTGCATGATGGAGGGATCAAAGAAGTCATACTCGAATTCAAGTTGATCCATACTACCTTGGTACTTTAAGCGTCAATCGCACCCAAACATATCCTAGTCTGCTATCTCAGAAGAAGACTACCCCGAGGACCCCTCATCTCTGGTCTTTAACTTCTTCTGCTGCTCCTCGTGTCTCGCCGTGATGAAATCGCCATCTTTTTGCAAGATATCATAGTCGTCATCCATTTGGTCTATGCCGCGCAGGTAAGTAAGTGTGTGCAACTCAGCCATCCGAATCTCCCAAGTGGTTAGAAGCAACAAAATAGAAGGCAACTTACCACGGACGTCGATGTTGAACTTTGCAATTCTCACAGAGATCTCGGAATCATTCAAATCCGCGACTTTGGCAGTAGATTCTGTAAAAAAGGGTTCCCCGTCGGCAAGAAGAAGAACTCTGCGATCCGGCCATATATCCGTTCTGTTACGTGATTCAACGAGCACCAACTGGGTGGTGTCTTTGTCCGGGTACTCTACATTCCGGAAGCCGCGATCATCGTCTTTGAAGTCTCGGTAGCCTCGGGGGTTGTCCTCAAAGTCATAAGTCAAGCATAGAACCGCATCGTGTCTGAGCGGTTTATCGGGTGACGGCTCTTTAGCAATGGTGCTCCTGGTATTGGGCCGCAGAACTTCTCGAACTCTCCATACGAAGTGTTTCGAGGTCGTGATACAGGGAACGAAGATTCCCGCCGAAGTTCTGAGGACGGAGAGATACCAGGCGGTTTGCGAATCGCGCCCGGAGCGGATAGTGACCCTAGAGCCATCGACTAATTGCGATCGCCCTTGACTCCCATGGCAACATAGCCCAGCTCCCACCACTGGAGCTATGGTCCAAAGACCATCTTGATCTTTCCATGAAGGGTCGTATGGTTCGACTCGCGGCCCCTGAAATCTTGCGATACAACCCAAGTGAGTTTATGTTCCGAAATTACATGCATGGTCCGGGATGGCAGCTTACTTCTGTGGCATAATCCTCTGCTCGCTCGCAGATCGAGGTCCAAAGTCAATGAGTTTGTAGATGTCATGACGAAGGTAGTGTGTTTTGTCCGCATTCGTACTCTTCGTCTTGAATCGAAATTGCGCAATGATCTTTGCTGACTTTGGAATGTCAATGAACTTCGAGACAGTAAGTTGAGATGCTTTAGTGAACAAGTCGACGACATCTTGGAGCTCATGATCTCCACTATCTTTGAATGAGTCGAGGATCAACTTCATCTCTTGTCTCTATCGAAAGGTTAGACAAGAATTAAATCACCATCACATTAACTGCATATAGTATTCTTACCCCGATAACTCTCCAATTGTTGTAATCCCCAACTGTTGCGCACCATTGTTGTGGGCTGTGATAACGTCAGATCACACACGGAGTTTTGGAGCCAAGGGCTCGTACTTGGAAGCCAAGATGGTATTCCCACCAACTGCTTCGAATACCACACTGTCGTCGCTATCTTTATAGCTGCGAACAATGCTCTGATCAGCACCTGATGCGATTTCTTTCTTTGACTCCGCCCCAATGATGACTTCCACAGGCTGTAACCACTCGTCAGTTTTTACGGTACTTAATAGAGGCGTAAAGTCGTTTCAGGTAGGATGCATACAGAGGAGACAGACATCCCGATAGCGTGCTTGAAGGAACACCGGCTCTTTTCTTCGTCCTGGGATTCGTTGCCAACCAGAGCTTTTGTCGAAAGTAACATTCCCCCGAGAATGACCTCGTGGCAGAAAAATTGTCCTATAAGGTTTCAACAATTGCATCTTGTATGAGGCGGAAGCTGTATCATGGGACCACCACGTACCAAATCTTTCGTAAAATTTGCGAACGTCTGTCTCGTCCGCTTCCTCACCTAGCTCCTTGATCTTTTCAATGCCATCCGTGAACGCCTTGGTCGGAACGAGATCATCCGCATTAAGAAACAAAGTAGCTCGGGGAAGCTAGGCGGTTATAAGCGATGTGAAGTCGAGTAACTTAGTTTTGGTAGCGCGTTGCCTACCTTGTATATACCGATCATGCTCTTGACAGACCTATTGCTCCCTGACGACTGCTCACCTTGGGAGTCGAAGGACTTTCCGCTAGCCACGTTGATACCGATTCCTGAGTAACCGAGGGCGATTTTGTTATCCATAGAAGACTTGTCAAAGCTATTACGAACAAGAGAGTGCTTAATTCCGCTCTCAGTAGTGACGACATCAATTTTTGAACCGTCCGTGACCCCGTAATTGGGAATGGCGATCTCAACCTCTGCAGTGGAGACTGTGCTATCTGGGCTGTAGTCAAGATTCAAGCCTGATTTGAGACGAAATGCTATACGACTATCAGTAGAAGCTCGTATTGTCAAATATCAACAACGAACCCGGTTTTGGTGCCATTTTGATCTCAGTGCTGACCGGATCAATATACCAGCCGTGCATGACTTGGCAATTCTTCATGACGAATTCCCACTGCAACTCATCAAGTGATGACGGTGAGATACTGGACTTGACGGTTAGGTATCAATTGTGAATCAAAGTTGACGTAAAATGTGTTTAAACGGATCACTCTAACCTGGAGGTCTGTGGCGAAACTGTGTCAGTCAATCAGTTAAGATCCAGATCCATGGTTTCGTACCTCAGCCTTTTGAACTGCTTTATTGCCACCCAAAGCTGTCAAAACTGTCTTTGGCTGATCTTCATCGAAACAAGATGAAGCGTCTTTAAACCTGAGGTTGATCGATGGGACGCTACTCTCATATGGACATGTCTCATCCTTGATTTGTTGGTTCAGTCTCAAATGGTGAAATTGAAAGGGCTCAAACTTACAAGCATCTTGATGTAGTCGTCGAATCTGGTTTTATCAGAGAGAGGGGTTTCATCCGGCAGGCAAAAATGATGTTTATCTTTTAGTTGCGACCTTCATGTTGTGATGTTAGAAGTGGAATTACAGATTGAGTCAAGAACATGGCAAACTTGCATTGCGCTAATTCCGTCTCTCAAGTCCCAGAGTGTCCGAGAGCCTAGGTCCTGGATATCAATGATGTGGCCGCTTGCACGTGCATCTTCTGGAGGCGACTTCATCACTCTGAGAGCCTGAATCGCCTGCGACTTATCATTCTTGATTTGGACGATCCTGATGATGAAATCTCCAGTCTTGTAGATGTCCTGTACTGTCTGCGCGTTGTGATCCTTCTTCAGACCGTAGTAAATTCTCACATCCGACTGGGGACTTTTCGTAAGCTTCGATACCTGCTCCACGTATTCCGAAAGAGTAAGGTCATAGTCGAGGAGCATAGACGACGGAGAACTCCATATGTCAAACTCCTTGGCCAGACCAATTGCAATCATCCCCTCTTTAATCTTAACCATGGTGACACTGTGCATCCCAACGTTGGCGTTGGCGTTGAAGCCGCATTTCTTCAACAGCACGGCGAACCCGATGGTTCCCGCAGGGCTTCCCGTCACTGGAAAAGACGTGGCATCAGCCTTCACCCCAGAAGATGACGCAGGTGTTGCTTTGTCTATGCGTTGAAATGTCAAAATCGTGTCCGAGTCAGACGGGCTTTTTGTAGCACCGTTGAAAGTTTTGGCGCCGGGTGTCGACGGGGGACTATTGTAAGCACTTTCCATGACAAGTAAGTGTGGTGCAGAAATTAAAGAAGGCGTCTGGTCCATATGATAGAGCTCCAGGTCCATGATAACGTTGTAGTCTCTATTTTGTATCAGGGGCGCAGTCATCGTCCTAGTCAAGTACGTCCACGCTCCAGGCTCCAGCATTGGACACTCACCATCGTTTCTATGGTCGCGTGCGTACCTGCCGGAACCACGAGTAACTCACACCGGAAACGGCCTGGATAGAATCCTGGCTTTCTTTTGTCTCACTACGGCTCAGCCGCATGGTGCGAGAGATGGGTTGGTTTCTTGGCGTGTTCAGCCTAAATGGACGAATGCAGGTTGTCTTGCCCCGGACTTTTGTCACCTATCAGCCAGGCTAGTCTGACATGAAAAACACGCATCTGAAGCAGTGCAGGGGGAAATGCCGTGAGCATCTATATAATTCTGTCTCGGGGCTCAAGGCATGATTCATTTTTCAGTTGCGAAAGCATTTCCGTTGATCTTCAATTCGCAACAAATCAACAATCCAACCATGGCAGTGGGACTTCCGACAAGCGCCAAAAACCCTGTTCAGAACAGACTGCAGGTTCTGCAGGCGCAGTACCCTGAATATCATGTCGTAATCTGGGCTTCTGCTGGAGGATCTCTCAAGCTTCTGCCCGGAACGCGATGGGTTCGCAAGGGAGTTGAACTTATTCAATTCAGTAATCTTTTGGGCCTTACTACAGACACGCGTCATTTCGAGTACTACATTGTCATTGAGGGGGCCTTTCGATACCGCAACAAGTACATGAAAGCAACCGAGTGAGTTCCAGAGTTCACGTTGCCCGAGTCACGAACTCCGGCACTAGCTGACCATTCATAGTTATCGGGATTACGTTGGCTCGACAGCCAATTTTGACTTTGAGAAGCGGCAATGTGTCATGCAGCCCAAGTGAGCATAGTAGTCATGAGTCAAGGCATGGCATTTCCCAATCTAACATGCTGACAGAACCGATTTCTGTGCCAAATCTTGGATGAAGCACCTCCCCGACGACATGTGTGTAAAGGATTTGAGCTTACCGGGAACTCGTTGTAGCAGTGCCTCAACCTATTGGATCAACGATGTCGCGAACATTGACGTCGAGCCAGAAATCAGCGATAAGAAGCTGAGGTTACAGTTACTCGGCATGCACAAGTGCCACAAAGACAGTATTCGCACTCAACTTCAAAACGGCGTTCGACTGCTCGACCTACGATGTGACGGAGAACGCAGACTACGGCACGGCCCTCTGGTCCTTGAAAAGCAGCTCGAAGACGTACTTGATGATGTCAGGGACTTCTTGAAAGACAATAAGAATGAAACCGTCATGATCATGCTCAGTTTCTCATCCGCCTCCGCAACGTATGACGCCGACAAGCATTGGTCCGAGGGTTACAGCATCAATTACGACGATCTGCCGAAGAACTTCAACAGAGACTTCAAGAGGGATATGAAGAAAGAAAATCTCTTGTACACAGGCAAACAATGGCCTCTTCTTCGCGATGTTCGCGGAAAGGCTGTCATCTTTCGTGGGTGGGACGTGGATTCTGAGGAAGACCGATGGGGTTTGGAATGCCGGTTGCCAGTTTGGGTGGCCGCGCGCAGTCCCACATCATCCATCAAGGCCGAGGATCTTGCTGCCCAGAGATGGGAAAGCCTGGCAGGAGACTTCAGCAGCCGAGACTCACTCAAATCGATAGTGCTGGCAGCTTGTCTGCATCATGATCCGACAGACGAAACAGGTTGGGTTTCTCCATTACAGACGGCCCCTATCCTTCAGAATAAGGCGGTAGAACACCTCAAGAACTCTACGAGGAAGATGAAGCATTTGTGGGTGTATGGTGATGATATGAAGGAGAAGACAAACCTGGCCATTGCCAAGTTGAACTTCTGGGGTTCAGACGACGAGGGACCCAGTCGGCCACTGCCGCTGACAGTTCACTCGGCGCCTTCAAAATTGATCACTACTAAGTAATGGTGGGCATCGGTATCATCATAGAGATAGCTTGGGGGAAGCATGTGATTAGCTGGTTAATTTGACTGCTTTGCTTATTGCCTACCAACAAATCCTGTGACTCTGTTAACGTCCATAGAGGAACGCGATAGGTTTCCGAGATTTTTTGCAGCTAGACGCAATGAGAGAGGAACAGCCAGTTCCTGTGGAAACCAGCACACTAACTCCCGGCAGTCGAGAAACGGCTTCTCTAGTGCGGGACCGGACCGATCCCGCCGCAGTGTACATGGCTAACTCGAGCGATAGCTGCTCTGAGAGGCCACGTGAGACAGTCATCTTACATGGGCTTGGGGAATGCGGTGATACATGCGGGTAAAAGCCGTTTGCAGTATGGTCTAATCTTCCGGTGGCAGGGCTGAAGTGAGACGCATTCTTGTAGTACTAGGAGGCTTTTGGTGGCGTTGAACGATTTGATGAGACACGGCGCGATCTCTTTTCCATGCAATTAGGGCCGAATTGAGTTGCAGATGAAGCTTGGTTCAAACACACATTTTTATTTCTTGGGCGTGACCAGTCTCTAGAAGAATGATCAACAACTGCCTTGGCGTGCTTCGAACCAAGGCTTGAATCAGTGGAGATAAGATCGACAAGCCAGCCAGCCTGCCGCTTTCATAATAGCTTGCTGACCGCGGGACCACGCGGAAGTATGCAGTGAAATCAGATCTAGAACGAGTCGACAGATGTATCTCTATACCAAAAATATGTACCCCGCTGACGATCATTTGTTCGAGGCCTCTGTACAGCCAAGCCCATCGCTTTGTCTACCTGGCCACGGGATGCTGGGCTAAATCCATTGAATCACTGGCTTGATGACCTTTTTAAATTTGGTTAGCTTTCGAAGAAGACGAAGAAATTGGACGGAAGCTATGACAACTTACTTTTCCGGCAGCCATTTCTTGTATGGCATGGTTCAACTGTGATGCTGGGTAAAACCCAGCTAACTTGTCGATGGGGAATCTGCCTTCTTGGTGCATGGAGATCAATTTGGGAATGAACTCTGCAGGAACCGCGTCTCCCTCGATTACGCCAACATATTTCTTGTTCCCAATCAGGAACTCTTGCGGGTCGAGCTTGATTATGGCTCCTGGAGGCGGTACCCCAACTTGGACTGCTGTACCCAGGGGACCGATGCAAGCAATCATGTCTTCAATGACCTTCAAGATTCCAGTGCATTCTACAGCGAACGTTGGACCCCCGTTGCTTATTTTCTTGATCTCCTGGACTACATCGCTGCATTCTCTCGAGTTGATAGTGTGTGTGGCTCCAAGCTCCTTGGCAAGCACAAGGCGCTCGGGAACAATATCGACGGCAATGATCTGCCCGGTTTCGAGGTAGCGTGCAGCCATCAACGCCGCAAGACCCACACTTCCGAGTCCGAAAATGATAATGGAGTCTTCTTTGCCCGGCTTGACGACGTTCATGACCGTTCCGGCGCCGGTCTGGAGTCCGCATCCGAGTGGGGCATAGACACCCATGTGCTCGACCGCCGATGGTGGACACCGGACCACTGATTTCTCGTTGACGACGGACATTTTGCAGAATGAAGACTGCCCGAAGAATTGACTCCGGACAGCACGGCCATCGGAAGCCAGCCGAGCTGGTGTGCTGCGGTCGCTTACCCGTACGGAATTGATGTTGATCATTGACGATTCTGGGCAGAGTGCAGAATGACCGCTCGTACAGGTCTTGCATGATCCACAATGATTGAATGAGAGGAGAACTGCGTCACCAATTGCTAGGTCTTTGATCTTGACGTCTCTTCCAATGTCGCGGACCACACCAGCTCCTTCGTGACCGAAAATGGCAGGAAACTCAACGAAGGGAAGACCGCCCTGTTGTGTTACTATATCGGTATGGCCTGTGATACTGTCAATGACTGATGCATGAGATGTTCCCAGGTTATCGTTGAATTTGACATACACACTCCACTGTACTTCATTTCAACAAGAACCTCATTTGGTCGAATCTCATCAAGAATGATTGGAACCAGCTCAAAATCAGCGTTCAACTTGTCCACCACATATGCTTCTGTCTCAATATTTTTCAACCCAAGCAAACTTGTCTTTTGGATCAAAGAAGCTTTGTCTTCCACGTGCTCGATATGTTCAACATGCTCGGTCGAAGACTTTAGACCTTGAGTCATGCTTGGGGTCACCCCCAGCATAGGTGTTTGTTGAATAGTAGCCATCGTCTTTGGTGGTTGAGGACAATAAATTGGTGAGAAACTGAATGGTGTCCTCAATTGTCGAGATATTAGACGGACTCGGTATTTAAGCACACTCCGAAAAGCGCCTGCGGGAAATCAACGCCCGCAAGTATGGGGATTGACATCTGCCGCATTCCCTACCCTCTCAAAACCTGATGCCGAACACACCTTGGACAGAGTTCAGCTTAGCAGCACCCCGCAGAGTTGACCGGTTGGCCCGCGCAGCCATCTTGGCGGAACGGTTGTTGTAGTCGGGACTTATAGACAGGGCAATCCCCGACCAGGAACCGCTTATCTTTCCAAATGCCTAGCTCCATGCGGGGTATATTGGGGCTGGAGTTAGTCGTGTGGGGTGTTGAGGAGTAGTGAAGTCAATGGATGTGGTTTCGCTGGCAGGGAAGATGGAACTTTGGAGATCATGGGATGAGGCCCCACGCTTTTCTTTGAAGACTGAGTGAGACAGCGCAAAACCTTTCTAGAACGCGTATGTATTAGGACGAACAGCAACCCCCTGTGTCTTCCCGTTCGGAAGTTGGGTTCGGGAGTGACATCAAGATTGGGTTTTGGAAACCTGACTCGGTGAGTTTGACATATGCTACCTCATTACTACAATGGTACTGCAACAAGTTGTCAGAAGTTTTACTTTTGAAGACCAATTTGATTGCCTAGTGCAAATTTACCTATTTTCTAATCTCGGCAACCCACTTCAATCCTTGATATCTAGCACTAGTAAGCTTTTGAATCTCAATCCAGGAGTGGTGACAGTCGCGCTATAATGGACGAGCACTTCCATCAAAAACGAAAGTCGACTCCCCAATCCCCCGCAGCTTGAAATTCGTAAGCAGCAAGTGTAAAAAGTTTGGCAATTTTCTGAGAGCCGCGTAACTTGAGCATTTCAACTCTTGCCTTATCTACACGTAGGCATCGCTCCAATCTTACTTTGATTGGTACAGAAAGCCGCTCTCAGGAACTTCATTCTCTCACTGACATCATGGAAACGGCGCACAATGGCCTCAGATACATGTAATTAACACAGAGTGACGATTACTCAAGAGGCTCTGGAGTAAGGTAAATGAACCCCAAGTGCAGAGTCGCGGACTATCTTAAATGACCTGGAAAGACTTGAGTTTTGACGTCTAAAATCACTCGTGGATTTGTTGCTGAACCTCACAACATGCAGTACATGCACAGAACCCTATGGTAACGAGCTGATGTCCATTCGACATGGAGGTGTGCTATGTTGTCGCATACTGCATTGGCAACAAAGACCCGAGTAAGACAACATGCATCTATCGAGCGCTCTTCATGTTGGTAACATTCGCATATTCAATTCGAAAAAGAAAAACCACGGTAAATGATTTGTATAACCGAGCCGTAAAGGGTTTCGGCGGACCGTGCCGTGGCGGCACACGGAATTCGTTGCCCGGCGTCCTAGCCCCCGCACCTCCCCGCCTTCTTATGATGCAATGTGCTTTGTCGCGGTCTCAGTATGAACGCTATGCGCTGTACAACCTCTACGGTTATTTAAATGAGGGGTTATAATTGTGACATATTGAAAAGGTATTTGTATTTAGCAAATATCAACAAACCATCTTGATCAACTACACCAAAAATTGTATCAATATCTGGACGTCTGAGGCGAAGAAGCAATCAACATGAGTGACACCAAGACAGGATCGAGACTAGCTGGAAAGGTCGTCATCATCACAGGTAGAACAACCTTCACTTCCAGTCGTATCCTGGGCTTTCTGACATTTTCTAGGCGGAGGGCATGGCTTCGGCGAGGGTATTGCCAACAAATTCGCCCAAGAAGGAGCTAAAGTTCTCATTACCGACATCAATGAGAGCGACGGACAAAGAGTAGCGCAAAGCGCTCCCGATTCGATATCGTTCTTCAAAGCAGACGTCACAAATGCTGAGGACTGGGAGAAGTTGATGAATGCCGCGCAATCGCGCTACGGCCGAATCGACTGTCTTGTGAATAACGCCGGCACGACTTACAGGAACAAGGTCAGAATTTCCGCACATCTATAAACTAAACGGTTATGACTCGTAGGGAATGATATGCTAACTTCCCACTGCCACAGCCTACGGCTGAGGTAACAGAGAGCGAGTTTGACATGGTCTTCAATGTCAACGTGAAGGGCATCTTCCTCGGCACCGCAGCGTTCATGCCGCGAGTCATCAAGCAAGGGGAAGGAGGCGTGATGCTGAACATCTCCTCGATTGGAGCTCTGCGCCCCCGGCCAGGTCTTGTGTGGTACAATGCCTCCAAGGGAGCCGTCTGCAATGTAAGTAGAGAGTGACTGATATAAATAAACGACACTTGGCTAACCAGATTGCAGGCAACCAAGGGGTTGGCGGCCGAGTACGGTGCCCATAAGATTCGCGTGAATTCGATCTGTCCTCTTTTGACTGGAACTGGCCTGTAAGCTGAATTCCTCCGAGCCATCTGGTTGTTGCTCATCCACATGCGTAGATTCGAATCCTTCATTGGTATGAAGGACACACCGGAAAATCGTCAGAAGTTCATTGGAAACGTCCCCTTACAAAGATTGGGTGAGATTGAAGACGTGGTAGACGCTTCTGTATTCTTGGTTTCGGACGAGAGCAAGTTCATCACTGGTGTCAACTTGGAGGTCGATGGTGGCAGAGCTATTTGAATGAACATGAAATTGGACTGTGTTGGCCACAGAGTCTTCCCAAGGGCAGATAGGTGGATTGAAACATTACAATATGCGCGATTAAGAGGTCATCATTATCATGAGCCTCTCAGCTTTCTCAGCTAACTCAAATAATTCTAATACGGCACAGTATATTTGAGTTGTAGGACAGGGCATAACTCTGAACCTTCTCGGCATATTCTGGAGTCGTTAGGTCAGGCTCTTTGTATCCCCATCCCCTGTGCATTCTAAGTGGGCCATTCGCCCGATCCCAGCTTGGGTTCGGCTTGCGCAAGACGGCAAAGCCTATGCGTCTGAATTCCGATCCTTCTAGCATGCGCTTGAGCACCAAACAGCTTCTGTCTGATTCTGATTCCGAAAGCGTTTCCACGATTGGCGCGCAAAACACTTCGTCTCCAATTTGCAGACTGTCATCATCCAAGCTGCAGTCAGCTAGACATACGTGAACATCTGTGCCGTCTTCGACATAATCCAGTGTCCAAGCCACATCGCCATCCGTGCTAAAGCAGTCATTCCCTTGAGGCTTGGTGCCGACCCTCGCCGAAATGAGCATTACGCCGAGGTCGACGAAGCCCCCCATCACCTCACCAAACGGATCATCCGTTATCGGCTGACAAAGAGCTTCGTATACGGTGCATACCGGCCGCGGTGAAGCGCCGTCTCCGTACATAATAGGATTTGTAGAAAGCGATACTCGTGGCCACCAGAAGCGGCACTGGGCGTCGTTAACGATATCAAGCGAAGCCCAGGACCAGGAGGGAGCACGGGCTATTAGAGGTCTTTGACCTATACCAAGCTTCATCGGATACGTGCCAGCTTCTGCAGTGTTGAACCACAACAGGCATTGAGGAAGAGACGCTTGCCATAAGCCCGCCAGGTAAGTATCGCGCGTCAGTTGGTGATAGAGCTGTGCAAGCCCGGAGAGAGCAGGTAATTTATCCTCATCATTTGCCAGGTGCCTCATCGTGTACTGCCGAAGTATGCCTGCCCACCACTCCTCAGCCTCTGCAGCATTCTGAGGCGGCAATGTACGTCGAGCTAGCTCCTCGCGCCAGTGAGCCGCCCCCGTATTGTGCAGACATTCGCAGATATAGATTTGATCGCACTTCCAAGAGATATCAAAAGGCCCGAATTCTAACACTCGGCAAGGTAGCAGATACTCCTGGAATGTCCAGCCTCTAGTCTCCAGATCTGTGGGTGGTGTGAAGTGTGACGTTCTTTCTCTGATGCGCAGGATCGACTCCTTGCCATTAGCGTCACCGATCTTGATTTGATGACTCCCGTAACGCCTGGATGAGAAAATGCCACTGGCCATACTTGTTGAGACGCTTGCATAGATGGTGAAGTAGGAGTTCCGATAGATGCGGGCCATGGCTGAGTTCTCAGCTGCGAAATCTGCACCCGTTATTCGCTTTTGCTCGCCCGACATTTCGGGAAAGTCTTGCAAGATACACAACGTATCGATCCACAGATACTCCACACTTAAACGTCGACAGATGACAATGGCATCTTGGAATGTCTTTGGAATGTCGCCCCATTCGATTCCTTCCATGTGCATATGTAGGTTTTCAGTCGTGCTTGTCAACCGTGAGAACTTTGCGTCGCCCCAACGGTGGCTTAGGCAGACGTATGGCCCCTGAAAATCACTGGCCTTGACAGTCTCGACGAGTCGAACTTGGTCACCCCGAAGATCAAGAAGCCTGCGCGGATAGAATGAGCCACGAGCCTTCCCGCAATCATGGTGGTCCACACATTGCCGAAGCCATTGTCGCGCCCTCGCAAAGCTCCTATCAGAGTCTGTTGATGGTCCAAACTGCGTCTCTCTGGGAAAGCCAACCTCCTCATCCCCATTACTTGAGACTCTGAAAACGGATTGTTCTTCGGGGTCTATGAAGAGAGAGACTCGGACATAGACTCCTTTGATGAGCAGATCCATGCTCTCCTCCGTATTGGCTGTTGTAAGGCCAATGCTTCCTACGACAAGTTCGTCAAGAATCTGATCTCGTTCAGTCTCGTTCCGTGCTCCCTGGAATAATGCCGGAAGACGCCCATCAATAACCGCCTCAACCACAGTTTTGTACACGCCGCAGAGGCCGCACAACTTCATGGCAGCATGCCGGATCTGTGCGTATGTAAGCTCCCTATGCCATTCACGCCGTTTCTCACAAGCACACAAGAGGTCCCACCCAGTCACACCTGGTGGTGGCTCATCGTCCGTGACTTTGTGATAGGACATCATCCGCGTAATACAATTTCACTTTGGACTCTAGACGCTCAAAAAGATTCAGATGATGTGGTATTGACACTGTCGACTGAGAGCACTCGGCATGATCCTGATGATTTGTCGGAGGCAGAAATAAAGGTGACAGTCTGCCTGGTCAAAATCTGCCCAACTGCCGAGCTGAAAAGAGGGGGCCGGAAGGTCAACACAGCGCGTTTACCGCGCCCAACTACCTATGTCGCTATGTCCACAGTCATAGCTACTATCATGGAGGTTGATTGGCCCGAACCAGCATCCTTGCAAGGGAGATCAGGAAGAGACCAAATCTTAACCCGTAAGTCCCGTTGAAACTGTCCAAGTCACAATTAATTTGAGACCATGATGTTGCTGCACGGTGCGTACAGATCTGAGTGCAGTAGGTAGTTGGAACAATTTGTTTGATGTAAGCAAGATTTTCATCGCTGTCTGAAATGGGGTTTGCAGGTGTTCAGTTGCAGTGAACTAGCGGCGTGGATATCGGCTTCACCTATACGTAGTATTGGAGAAGGGGATATAGCCGATATAACCGACAGCGCTCAACCTTCGGCTATTTGCTCGCCTAGAGCCAGCCACAGCATCGCTAGCTTGCCTTTGTCTGGATGACGTACCTGATTGCCGCCGGCCATACCTCCCATACCTGCAGTCAAGTAATATGATCTACCTACCGTCTTGATCAGTTCAGAATTGAGTGAATGATCTTTCGATATTGAACTTGATGCATCCACGTGCATTTTCATGATACCATGGCAACTCGGACTCTGACAGCAAAGTTGTGGCGTCTCAATGCAAATGTAGGTACTCCGCCTTCACGCATAATAACACAGATCGCTGATTTCTCCTTAGTTGGTATCGAAGCAACAACTTCGACGGCTCACGCTACATGAATATCAGTCGCAGAACATTTTGAAGGAGGTAAGGTTTTCTCTTCTGTAGCGACAAGAGACTAGGATGGGAAGGGTCGCTGATGCTTTTCGATCAGTTCGGCATACCAGTACCCCGAGGACACCTCGCAAGAACACCAGCCGAAGCTGCGGTGATTGCCACAGAGCTTGGTAATTATGGTTTCTTCTAGACTGCCACTTCAAGATGTACTGACACACTTAGGCGGAAACTGTTCTCTCAAACCACAGGTATTAAGGGGCGGCATCGAAGACGGCACGTTTGACAACGGGTCAGAGGCCGGCATTCAACTGGTCAATAATGCAGAAAGCGCCGAGAAAGCTGCCAATCGCATGCTTGGTCACTACTTGAAGACGGATCAATCCGTAGGTAACGGTGTATTGGTCAATAAGCTTCATGTTACTGAAAGCCTGAATCCCGAGAGAAAGTGGTACTTGGCGTTCACATTCGATCGCGAGAACTATTGTCCAATAATCATCGCGTCAAAATTTGGCGGAGTCGCCATCGAAAAGATAGAAGCCCAGCATCCAGACGAGCTGCATACATTTCGATTTGGGTTCACGGACGGCATCACATCCAAACTCACCGACAATGTCTCGAACTGTCTCGGAGCTTCGGCGAAAGAGAAGGAAGACCTCAATGACATACTCGGCAGACTTTATAAGATTTTCACAACAAAGGACGCCTATTCGCTTGAGATCAAGACTCTAGCAAGCTCATCAGAAGGAGGTCTGACTTGCATGGACGCCAAGTTCTCATTTGATGATGCTGCGGCCAAGCGGCAGAAGACACTTTTTGCAGAGCGAGACACGGAGCACGAGATTCCAGAAGAAGTCGAGGCTGAGAAGTATGGGCTGGTCTATGTTCGCATGGACGGCGACATTGGCAATGTAGTCAATGGAGCAGGTCTCGCGATGGCGACCAACGATGCGATTGCCCTGCACGGTGGCGCCAGTGCAAACTTTCTTGATGCTGGTGGGCAAGCGACGAAGGAGACCATGGTCAAGGCATTTGAGATTATCCTGCGGGACCAGAGGGTGAAGACAATATTTGTCAACATCTATGGCGGTAAGTTCGCCAAACAGCCAATGAAGGAAGCTTGACGTCCACTTCTCGGGCTAATAAACTTTTGGCAGGAATTACTAGAGGCGACATGATCGCAGAATCCATTCTTGGTGCAGCCAAAGAGCTGGGACCGCTGAAAATTCCCATGGTGGTTCGACTTCAAGGCACCAATTCTGAGATGGGATTGAAAATCGTAAGATGTTCCCGTACCGGTCAAATGCTATCTTGACATTGAGTGTGCTGACTGGAACATACAGCTGGAGGAAGCCAATCTTGGATTGCATACCGAAGCAGATTTTGGGAAAGCAGCGCAAAAGGCAGTAGAACTGGCTCGAGGATCAAGCCCGGCGTCATAGAATCCGTCGTTAATTTTGGGTATTTGAAGCAGCTTACTTACGATGGCTGTCATCAGCCAATAGAGTCTCGACATTTTCGCCAGAAAAATGTTGCTCAGGCAGCGGCCCCTTCCTTGCATCTTGAGACGCCCCAAGCTCACATCAGTTCAGTGTTGGTTCATGGCCCCTTGAATGTTCTATCTAACGGCCATGGAGATTTCCGAAATTGGACTGATGTTACTTGTCATCTCTTTGTTGGTTGCTTCGCCGTATTGGTTTTGGGGTCCAAGAAAACATGTCAGATTCTATTGCCTTGCCGCATTTTCTTTAGGCAACCAACGTCAACTCGAAGGGATATTTGAAGAAACCAAGTTCCCTATTGACTTTTCGAAACAACGAGCTATTATACTACAACCCGACCACACCTGTATCATCTCTACGCCAAGATTCGATGGCTGACTCAACTACAACTCAGCCCGACCTAGACCCTATCGCGGTCGCTGACTTCCACGACACACTCAAGAAGTCAAAGCGCATCGTTGCTCTCATCGGCGCAGGTCTTTCCGTATCCTCGGGCCTTGCCACCTTCCGAGGGGCCAACGGACTGTGGAGGAACCAGGACATAACGCAGGTCGCTTCACCCGCAGGCTTCCGTCATGACCCGGGTCTCGTCTGGCAATTTTACACGTATCGCAGGCACGACGCCCTTCGTGCCAAGCCGAACCCCGCTCACTATGCTCTGGCCGAGCTCGCGCGCAGAGTGCCTGGCTTCGTCGCGTTGACGCAAAATGTCGATAACTTGAGCCCTCGGGCTGGTCATTCGCCCAGTCAGCTGAAGGAGCTCCACGGCAATCTTTTTGCGCTGTCCTGCGTCGACGTGGTTGGATGCGGATACAACGAGCGTGACAACTTTGAGGAGTCTCTGCCGCCAGCACTCGATCCTTCAAAGGACGAGGAGAGGACCATCGGCAGCATCAATCCGGACAAGAAGCCTCGCGCCAGCCCAGTACTATTAGCCGGCATCGCGCGGAAACACGCGCAAATCCTCGGGGAGAAGTATGAGGGCAATTCTCCGACCACGCGGGATCTGACCTCTCTGAAAGCCCCGGATCAACCGGCGCCATCGAACCCCGTTGCTGTTACCCGGCTGTCGTCGGGGTTGGAGAAAAAGGACCTACCGCAATGCCCTAAGTGCAAGAACAACATCCTTCGTCCCGCCGTCGTCTGGTTTGGCGAGCCACTGCCCGTTGAGGTTGTTGAAGAGGCCCAGGCGCTTTCCGATGACCCCGGGGCCATCGATTTGTTTCTGACGATTGGAACCACCAGCAAGGTCTGGCCGGCGGCCGGGTATGCCGAGATGGCTCGCAAGAAGGGTGCGAGAGTTGCTGTTATCAACACGCGAGCTGAAGACGCGAGACATGTTCGGCCGGATAAGGACTGGGTGTTTGTAGGAGATGCAGCAGATGTCCTCCCCCAGTTACTGAAACCGGTTATTAGCGAATCATACGAGCAAGTCGAGAAGAATATGAAGAAATAGCGGAAGAGGCACATTGTCACAGGTTACGGAGGGTTCAGAGCCATGCGAACCTAATCAGTGATTACGTGTCCACTTTTTCTACTCCAAGACGGTGTGAAAGCGAGGAGCATTGCATCTAGTAGATATGAGTTGGCTGATACAATCTCCATCCCGTTAGCATCAACTCCCGCTTGGCCTATGCTTGGAACAGTTGAACTTTATGTAACAAGCCTTGATTAATATAAGCTGGCCTGCATCATTGATCATATAGTTAGATTCTTCCAAACTCCGCGTTAGGTTTCCACGCGGAAGACAAAGCTGCCAAATACCTTCAAGCTTACCTGTGTCAATTATCGCTCTAATCAAGTCATTCGAACGAACGTTGGCTCCAATTCCAGTGGTATCCGTCAGAATATCGAAGTAAAACCCCCTTGCGTTGTAGAGCTGCGTGGCTGAAGCATCAAATGTGGAAATCGTCTTTCCCACTCCAGTCATACCGTCGTTCCATCGCTTTCGTCTTTCAGGTGATGCAGCTTGAAAACTGTTCACTCTCATCAATTCCGATCACCACTCACTTAGTCACGATGAAGCTTTTGCTTGCTCGCTTACGTTTGGAGTTCCATAGACTTGAGCTTAGCTGCACTGACTACTGCAGGACAGAGCAGCTTATGCAACCTATCCAAAGCTATAGTTTCACAAAACTGAGACTTTGACAACATCTGTCAGGCACCGTGCTAGCTCTTTGAGGCGTCGAGAGGCATCTTCCGATTGGATCTCGTCGTTTGAGCCAGGGCAAGCCGCTGACTCGTTTGTCCATGATTAATCATATTTTCTACCCGAGACTCACGGCCCTTCCAGCCCTTTCATCTTGAGCCGCATATGTCACACCGAGTTTCTTTCCCATGGCGAATGGTCCCAGCACGAAATAGAATCGTTTCGGCGACATTTCACTCAGCAAGGTTATCATAAGTGCCGCGCTTGAGCTTGGTCTCTTTGCGGTGAATCGAGTGATGCTCGACTAGTTAGTTGAGTGATCATACTACAATCGCTCAGGCCTTATTATTGAAAGTTTTCCAGAATTGATAATTTGAAAGTCATAAAGTCTTTTCAACTTGCCGTGCCTGTCAACTGGAAATATTGAAGCGGACGAACAAGCGCGTCCTGATGGTTGCGCGGCGTACCACCCAGCCACATGACTAACACCTTCACCGCGGCATGACGGGGAAGCCGGAAATGTTTCTCAGCGAATGCACAATGACAGGTTGGGCATTTCGAAAGCAAAAGCTTGTCATAGCCGCAATAATACTCTCTCATATCTCTTCCCTTGATAACGGACTTGAGGCGGCTGCCGGCTTCTGCCTCCCGTCCCGTCCTCGCATTTCCTAGCTTAGCCGTCATGCCGCGCGCTTCTGAAAAGGTTTAACTGATGGGCAGTGGCTTGTGACGGTAAGGGAGGGGGGAGGGGGAGAAATCTCTTTCTTGTAGGAGCTAATGCTGCTGCTCCCGCTTCCGTAGTGAGACCCTAAGAATGCCAGACATGCCTCCCGAGTGAGACGTCAGAATTGAGTTGGCTGGGTGGCTAGATGGCACGGTGGCTCTCGGACGACGAGCCCTTTTCGGACAGTTGATGGTGGTGTGCCACACGCGGTTCAACGGGGGACAAGGGTGTCAAACTGTCGATGGATGGTGTCGTGCAGTAGAGGGAAGCTATTCCACGCGTTCCCACCCGTATCCCACGTTTTTGAAGTCGTAACGAGATTTTCGCGAAGAGGGGCTGGCCAGGAAGAGTCAGCTAGGTCGGGGTAAGCAGGTGGGAGGTAACCTCGAAAAAGCCATCTTTTATCAAACGGGCAAAGACGGGCTGATGACAGCATCGACCTAGAGCAAACTAGATATGCACAGTCTGAAGCGAAGATGGAAAAGCTGCGTTTGTGATTGGTGTGGAAACCACCAAAACCCCCCCATGCAGGAACGGGAAAACGGGGAAAGTATGTGTGATCAAAGGCAGCGAAGGAGGAAAAAAGAAAAGAAGGATTCTCGGTTAGCGAGAGGGGATCCATGTCTCTTTCTTCCCTGCGTCCGTGGTCAAAGGGCTGGCCATCTGCCGTCGAGGGGGGGTTGCTTCCGCCCGACGCCTTGTCTGGTTCGTTCGTCGACCCATGCCTTTATGATGGAATCGGCCTGGATCTCCTCGCGAACCCGGTACGTGTAGAAATGACCGCGATCTGTATCTGTGCTCTTGAGGCACCAGGGTAGAGATCTCGGATTACCGTAACACAACAGGCTTCTTTAGGCAGGCTGACACGGGGATCCTTGGACTTTGCGGGAGCCATGGCCAGTCCCATGAGATGAGGGCATTGTCCTGAGGATAATTTTCGAATTCAGACAAGTCATCGGAAACGCTTCCATGCCCTACATCCCAAACGAGGTATTCATTGAGAGCATCTGCCGTTGCCGATGAATCGCGAGCAAAAGCGCAGAGGTCAGGTTTCCCCCCATGGTTTCTATCATATTCACAATTTGATCATTGCCCATTTGCATCGTTTCGTTTGTAGGCATCCACTTTTTCATACCACTAAAGCACGACGCAGCGCAGTCATCACACCTCCAGCCCATTCGTTAGCCTGCTGTCCTTGGCAGTGCCTGTTTCTCACGAAGTGAAAGAAAAAGTCTGGGCATTTCTGCTGTTACCCTCGACCTCTGATCGCGTGGCAGCAAAGGTGGCCGCACCAGTATTTCTATCCTTTCCTCTTCTAGGTACTCTGGGCTGTCCAGACCCCCTGTCACAACTGCACAGCGTCTGCACTGCGGTCGATAAGGTATGCAGCTTGCCATTCTGGTGCCCACAGTGGGAAAGGAAAAAGCAAACAAAACCACCACTTGGGGGGCTATTGGGTGACCTGATGTGGCCCGCCCCAAAAAGAAACGAGCAGAAAAAGGTCTGTGGTCTGGGTTCTGGGTTCCAGTCGTCGGGCCGTTGGGAACTGGGGGGGAGGGACAGACCTCGAGAGGTTCAAAAATGAAGCATCTTGCTCTCATGGATTGGATGCTTGGACCTTTGAATGTTCGTCCCACTTCCGCTTCCCGCATAATCCACTCGTAGTGTGGACGACAAGGTCAAGGTCTCCTTCCCATCGCAACCTCACGGGACGACAATATGGCGGCATCACCACCGAAGACGCCGACGATGGGAGACAAGGTGGTGATATTCCCGCTGGAGGAGCCGGGCCAGATCTCTGTGGTTGCGGTGTCTATCGTCTTCATCATCATTCCGACGTTGATGGTGATCCTCCGCCTCATCGCTAGGCGCATGGCGCATAGAGATATGGATTTGAGTGATTGGTCTATAATTGCTGGACTCGTACGTTGTTCATCACGCCAGCAATGGAGTTATCTTCCGGCGCGATGAGATGAGGACTACAACTCACTTTTCTCTGACAGGTCTTCTCCAATGCCTTGCAAGCAATTTCCATAGTCGCTGTGATGCAATGCGGTGTTGGCCTTCACAATGCCGTCATCATACCCAAGTATGGGGTCGGGCCAATCGTCAAGTTTCTCAAGGTTCGTGCCAACTCTCGCGTCGAAGAACCCCGATGTAGTTGTTGACGCATCTCCCTCTAGGTCCTCGTCGCGCAACAAATCCTGTGGGCCATCAGCCTCAGCCTCTGCAAGATCTCCATTCTTCTCCTCTACTCCAAGCTCTTCAGCACCAGGTTCATGATCCTGTCGGCGCGGATACTGGCCGCCTTCACCATGATGTGGGTCATGGTCACGGTGCTGATCGCCTTCTTCATCTGCATCCCCCTCTCGGACAACTGGCTCCTCGATCTCAAGAACCGACACTGCGGGAACCAGCCTGCAGCGGATGGCACGATGGGGGTGTTGAACATGATCACCGACATCATCGTCCTCGTCATGCCGATTTCTCACTTGTGGAGTCTTCGGCTGGAGATGTACAAGAAGGTCGCCCTGATCGTCACCTTCTCGCTCGGAGTCTTGTAAGCCAAGCCTCCCGAATCTGAAGAAGATGTTATACTGACCATGTTGCCAATATAGTACGTGCATCGTATCGGCTCTGCGCCTCTACTACCTTGCCAACCTCGTGTACCTCGACGTAACCTTCAATATCCCCAACGCTCTCATCTTCAGCGCGTTGGAGCCCGGCGTCGGCATCACTCTCGCGTGTATCCCCTTCCTCCGACCTCTGCTGGGCCGTTCCTCGTACTCAACCAAAGGTACGGCAAACTACTACAGCTCGAATGGCAAGTCCGATGGTCTCTCAAATCGGCGGAGCGAACGCCAAAGTGACGGATTCGTCCTCGTGGACAATTTGTCGCAGCAGCACCTTCGGGAGGCCGAGCAGAGTGATTCAGCACCGACTATGCCCAGCAAGGTCACGTATAGCAGAAGCAGTAGTGTTCCAGATATAGATTAGTATATGAACATTATAGATCATCCAAGCCTCGATGTTCGGTTTTGCCTGATAAAGCTTGCTGCATGCGCTCATTCAATCAGTCGCGGTGGCTCCTCGACGTCTTCTGGAAGCTTGCTCCATCGGCTCGTGTAGACCCTGCCATCCTTGATCACCGCCAAGACGTTCTTCTCCGGCTCATCCAGTATTGAGACGTCGTCCAGCGGATTCCCGTTGAGAATTAGCAAGTCCGCCACGAACTTCTCCTTCACCTGCCCCAGCACATCCTCCTGTCGAAGCATCCTGGCGGCGTTAACCGTGGCGGATTGAAGCACCTGCTTATTGCTGAGAGCCCGCTGCCGGATGCCAAACTCCCTGCTCTGCTCAGCCTGTAGGGGGCCGAGCAGATCCGATCCATGACAGATGGTCACGCCCGCTGCGGCGGCAATTTTCAACGACTCGAGACCTCTTTCCAAGACCTCCTGGTTCTTGCGCTGGTTCTCAGGGGGCAAGAATCCCTTGTACTTGTCGGAGCCCATGGCGTCGTACGTGACCAGCGTAGGCGTCAGCCACACGGCGTTCTCAGCCATGAATTCCGCCGTCTCCTTGTCGATGAAGTTGCCGTGCTCGATGCCCGTCACGCCGTTCTCGACCGCGTGGCGGATCGCCCGCGGGGTATATGCGTGCGCCGTAACCCAGGTACCGTAGCTCCGCGCGACCTCGCTAATGGCCTTGATCTCATCCGCCGTGAACTGCGTGTTCTCGATCCTGTCCGTCGGTGACGCCACGCCGCCGCCTACCATGATCTTGATAAAGTCCGCCCCCGTCCTGAGCTGCTCTCTCGTCGCCCTGATACACTCCGGCACGCCGTCTACGACGTTGGAGAGTCCCGCCGTGCCGCCGCAGCACAGCCCCGAGTGATCGTGGGCACCTCTGCGATCGCCGTGGCCTCCCGTCTGCGAGAGAGCCTGGTTGGCGATGAACAGGCGAGGCCCGGGGAAGACGCCGTCCTGGATTGCCTCCTTGAGCGCGAGAGTTGCGCCGCCCGTGTCGCGGACCGTGGTGAAGCCCTTGCTCAGGATGCGACCGCAGACGAAAGACTGCCGCAGATGAGAGACGGTGGCGTCCATGTCGAAGCCGCCGTTGAGGCCGGCCTCGCCGGGCACGGAGCTGACGTGGACGTGGCAGTCGATGAGGCCCGGGGAGAGGTATTTTCCCTGCAAATCTACCACAATGGCATCGTTGCCTGTGCTGTCGGCTGGGCTCCCCCCAACGTTCTCAATCAAGCCGTTTGAGATCTTGACGGTCGTGTTTTTAATGACGAGGCCTTTGGCGGCATCCACGACGTTTGCGTTGATAAAGAGGTAGGTGTTCTGCGGAGGCAGCTTCCATGGCTTGATGAGCTTCTCCGGGATCGCACCCTCGGCGTCTGCCGCCCACTGCCGCGGCGAAGTGCGCCGGGGAAGCTCCATGGCGGGGCCGGCGAGGGCGGGAGCTTTGCGGATTGTCATTTTCTGGCAGCAGCTGAAACGGGGGTGAGCAGGGACACAATGGAGAGGCGAAGACTGGCTGGAGGTTCCAGAGTTCTCAATGCTTCGTTGACAATTCAATGATGAGAGATGAAGATGTGGCGGACGACATTGCCGTGGCTGATAAGCGCATCGGAGCAGTTTGCCGGTGCGGAGTCGGCGATGGATGATGGAAGCATCCCTGATTGTAGCGATCAGTGCGTAAGACTGTACCTTCCTGATACGGACGAAGGATCTGACCGTTTGTTCTATACAATCGAATAGAGGACTATCGCGTCTTGTTGCAAAGGCGGGGGATTAAGATTCCCAGCCCAGGTTCTGGGCTTGAAGTTGGAGAACGGACGAAGATGCAGCTGGACGCCTGGCGCACATTGTTGGTCCCCGAAGTATGTTATGTACCTGCCTACTCAATTAATGCAATGCACCCCATCGCTCTGAGCTGTACACTACGGATACTCCGTATTAGACGCGCAATTTGACACATCCTCTTCCACAACACTTAGAAACAAGGGGTTTAGTGGGATGACCAGGGTGAGTTCCACTAGGTATCAGCTCGAGTTCGGTCTCGCATTCTCTTACTGAAAACGAGAAACGGCAGCGAAATGCGTATAAAACACCTGGGGGAAAGAATTCACCCACCGCGACAAATTGTCTAATTGATTGTTATGCTTTTCGTCCACGATCTTATGGAAGTCGCCCATCAGCTATCTCCATGTAACCTTATCTTCCGAACCAAATAGCCCACTCTCCGAAAACCGCTGCTATGAATTCGCGAGTCGTGGTGATTGTTGGTTGTGGCGGAATGGGCCTCGCCATCGCCCGTCGTTTGGGTACAGGCCACCACCTCTTTCTTGGCGACTTCTCGGACGCAACTCTCGCAGCTGCTCAGAGAGAACTCACAGACGACGGATACTCGGTGCAGACGATGCCGGTAAATGTCTCCGAATCCGCATCCGTCAACGACTTCGTCAACGCAGCCGCAGCGGCAGGGCCCTTGCACACCATCGTGCATACCGCAGGCTTGCCCCCTACAGCCAACACCGCCCAGCGAATTTACGCCGTCAACCTCATCGGCACCGCCAACGTGATAGACGCCTTCTTCCCCGTTGCGCAGGCCGGCACCAGCCTGATCTGCATTTCGAGCATGGCAGGCCACATGGGCTCTGGTCTCCCCGCCGAGCTAGAGCGACATCTCGCCACGGCGCCCGTCGACCAGCTCCTGGATCATCCCGCTCTCGTCGTCGACACCGCGGACCCGTCTGCGGCCCCTCGTGCGTACGGCATATCCAAGCGCGGGAACCTCCTACGCGTGCAGGCTGCCGCCGCGACCTGGGGCCAGAAGCGGGCGAGGGTGAACTCGATCAGTCCGGGCGTCATCTCAACGGCGGTAGGTCGTATAGAGATGGAACAGGGCGGTCCAGCGGCAAAGTTTGTTGCCACAAGCCCGGCTGGCCGAGTGGGAACACCTCAGGATATTGTCAACGCCGTAGCGTTCTTAGCTAGTCCGGAGTCGTCCTTCATTACTGGGACTGATATCCTTGTGGACGGTGGTGTTGTGTCAACATACAAATGGGGAGCCGCTGGCAAGTAAAAGTGCGCAAGGACGGCCTCTTTGCTTACAATCATGTCAAGTACCCACTTTCATTCCACTTATAGGCAAACGTAGTTGACTCGCGAACAACATCTATATATGGCGACCATTTGTCGGTGTCAGGCGCGCGGATTGACGATTCCGCGAACGATGGGAACCTTGTAGGATAGAAAGGAAAGGTGGAAAGGATGACATGCCAAAAAGAGAAAAAGAAAGTCTCCTCGACGGGGAATTGAACCCCGGTCCCCTGCGAATCGTGGGGTTTCCCCGGTGACAAGCAGATATCCTCACCACTAGACTATCGGGGATGTGCTGATATCCGATACAGCGACTAGTCATACTAAGTATGGTAGAGAACTGGTGACTCCACAACACGCCTCTTGTAATCTCTTCACCCAGGGCTTCGTGCCTGCCGCAAATGCGAAATGCCTCCCGCCTATTGTCTGTAAGAACCCAAGAGTCGGCTGAGTCCCTGATTTGCATGGTAGCGCAGGGGTATGATGCACGCACTTCTCATATCACGGTCTCGCCTGACAGGGCAAGATATCAGATGGGAACTTGGCGGTGGTAGCTGGGGGGAGTTCACTTCGAGTCGTTTCTCGAGAAATCTACAGAGTCAGTCATAGGTGCTAATTTGCTGGACGTCTGACTGCCGCAACCATCAGTGTTGGGGGTTGGTTCCACGGAGACGCGTGGGTGAGACAGTAAGGCGACGCGAGCGTCCCAGGGAAGGCCTCAAACGTTGGCCAGATTGCTGTCATGAGGACACAAAATCTTGTAGCACACATGGCCATATGCGAAAAATTGATTTATGTGAGAATGAATGCGATTCTAACTGCTGCGATGCTGTGACCGAGATTGGAGTCGGCTGTCTTGAATGGGGGCTCTCTTACCGACTCACCTACCTTACGTGCGGCATGTACGCAACTCTACCACATGGGAACACCTCTGATGAGTGCATTGTAGTGAACTGTCAATCTTGAATGGCCGGAATACGAAAGGGAAAAGGTCTTTGCAGAAATGTCTCAGTCCTCCGTGCTGGGTCTTCTGCAGGCTCGTTGGCGTGTGGAGGTGGCTTCCAAAGTCCGAGACCCGAGGCTTCCATACTTCCACGAGCCTGTTATCTCGCAACGGGATAAATCTAGAATGGTGGATCATTGCTGCATTTTGCAGCTCCCTAGTGCAGCAGAGGAAACTGGGACTCGGGCGGCCTTGCGTAACGTAGATGGCATGTTGAGCCAACAAAAGTGTCTTCAGAGATACACCCTCTCTAGTCTCCCACTTTTCCCCACCCTCTCGTTCGGCCGAGTCCTGCTTTTCGAGGGCTTCATCAACGGCCCCGGCATAGCCAGCATCTCTATTTCCCGTTCAGGAAATTCATCGTGCATGATCGATCTTTGCAGTGCATTCTGCCTCGTGATGAATCTCAGCTCAGCCCTATGTGTGTCAGCAAAGGCAACCCTATGGCACGACAGAATACACTGGGTGCCTGGCCCTGTAATCTGTCAGACTGAGTTGTTTTCGCCCCCACGCCCGGGTCCATGGGCAATGAGTAAGACGCTTAAATCAGCCTCTTGAGTCCTCAAGGGATGCTTTTCTCTTCGGAAACGAATCAAAATGCGCAATTGGCCATGTCGCGCCTCTGCGACGTACAATTTCCTATTCGGGAAACTGGTCTCTTTTCTCTTGGCCCTCCAAAGTAAGTAGTGCCCCCAGCCTGCGGCTCAACGTAGATTTGCCCAAAACGGCAATCGACACTCAAGAGTATATCTTCGTGAGCTTAGCAATTCAACTCTTGCCACAGGACAGGGTGCATCGTCGAATAGACTTGTGTAGAAGAATCATTCCAAGCTGAACTAAAATTCAAGAATGAGAATCATCCACTTTTGCGGCGCGGTCTTGGT